TGCCCGGGCGCGGTAGACGTGGAGCTTGTAGCTGTGGACACACCAGCCGCTGCAGCTGCAAGCTTCCCTGCTGTCTCCGTAGCGCGTAGCGCGCGGCACGCCCTTTCTCACGTCGCGAAGTTTGTCAGCGCACTCGGCCCCATGAGCACGGACACGGCCGTGGCGCCATGCCTGGCCAGGCCCGGCGCTATGCTAGTCGACTGAGAACATCTGAGAACCACTTCTCCTGCATGTCAGGAGAGGTGACACCACAAGCATTGCAAAAGCATTGCGTTGACTTCCTGGGCAGTCAAAGGTGCTTCTTCTTTGGCGCACCACACCCAGGCTTTCACAGAATCTCGAGAACTTCGCTCAGATCTTTAGCAAGCTTAGGGGTTGCATCAGTTCTATCCTCCTCCCAATCACAGGCGCAGATGATGGGTTTTGCCTGTGAGCCTTTCAAGGAGGACGACGTTAGGCGCTTTCTCTGCGCGTGTCTGTGCCTTTGGACAGGAGTTTGACCTTGGCCTTCTCGGCTCCAAGCGCAAAACCCATCACCACGAAGCCCCCGACATTACTCGCATTTTGCGTCTCCGCCCTGTCCTAGCTCCTTGACAGCTCCCGGTGTCGGAATGCCTTGATGGCTGCAAGGCAGACCAGGCAAGGAGAGCTCCAGGGGCTCGCAGCATGTCGCGAAGACGGGTCCTGCAGGCACTCTAGGCATGAAGCCCATCATGCCCATCTGCAGCTCCATGTCTTGCCAAGCCTCTTTAGCCCTGCCCCGCTCGCCTAGGTCTGGGTTGGTCGGTTGGCTTCTGGGGGCTGGCACTCAAGGGGCTTGCTCTGATGAGAAAAGCCTGCGCTAAGAAAGGAGCCTCTCCCCCAGGCGGCATGCTGAGGGTGCCAGGAAGTCCTCTCAGGCTCTCGTGATCTCTCATGGCCTTTCATCGTTCCCTCAGGGTTGAATTTGCCCTGTTTAGGTGCCCTGCACCCTGCAACTTCCGGCGTTCGAGTCAGCACCGGCTTGCTTCAACCTCTGCTCACGGAGTGGCTAGAATTGTTCTGCTGATCTCAGGACCTGTTTGGTCCGTTGGGTTGCTGAAGCGCAGGAAGAATTGAAACCGGTCCGAGGGTTGGGACGGCTTCCGATCTGTGCGGGGATGTCGCTGAACTCATCTCAGAAAGAGCCAACAGTGACAGGTGCTTTCGTCGTAGTTCCGGAGCCTCTGCTGGCTTTCAGGGCTTTGAAACACAAGCGAAGCGTGCATTCGAAGAAGCTCAGATCTGAGACCTAGGCAGCAGCCCATGATTCTGCACAACTCTGCAAGTTTGGAAGCCCTGCCGTGGAAGCCTGCGATTCAGGTTGTGATGGAGACACGGCCTAGCCATCTACTCACCTTCACCCAGCCTTCACCAGTCCATTCAACCTCGGACTCTCAATGATACGGAGGCTTGCGGCTGGAGCCTTGCACCGCTCAAGCTGGCATGAGCCCTTCGACTTCCACCGAAAGCCACGAAGCCTTCGACGTGAATGAAGAGACAAGTTTGTCGCCTGCGAGCTTCGCTTGCAGAGCGTGCAGGGTCGACGTGATTGGCGGATGCTCCCAAGCGGCTGTGGGTAGCCTGCAGCCCCGAAGGACCCGGAGCTTCAGAGAGGCCCTTCCTCCTTGGCGTGAGAAGCATTGGTGAGTGGAATTTGCTGGATGGGCCCGCGCTCTGGGAGTTTGGGCTCTGGGGATTCCGCGCTGGATGCTGAGAAAGGAGGATGCAGCGGCTTGGGTTTAGGACCTTAGGGCCTTAGGGCCTTAGGACCTTAGGAATTTGTGGGCTTCTGCTGGCATGTCTACCACCGAGCCACAATGCCGGCGTGGGCAAATGGGCTGCGAGTACCCTGTGGCGGTCCATCTCGGATTCGTTCCCTCCCCGGGGCAAACTTCAGGGGATAGCACCATGGGGCTATAGCTCACAGCCTCCCCACCAGAACACAGGGCTGAGCCGTGCATGTTTTGGTCCTTCCTCCAACCTTCGCGGGGAGGCTGGCAGCCTAGGTTTGTCCGGAAAGGCTTCTGAGGGCGCCACGTAGCATCGACTCCGAGGTTTCGTTTGAGCTGCCGAAGTTGCCAAGGCTCCCCTGCGTTCTCCGGCGCCCCTTAACGTTCATGCCCCCAATTTTGCCTCTTCATTCGATAGTCCGCGGCGAGGTGCGGCGAGCTCTAGTGTTCCATGGCACCAAACTTAGACTCTAAAAGCTCGAGGTTTCGTGGGCCCTGGCCTCACAGCAGCCTGGCAGCTGCCGCACCTGCCATGCGCAGGGAAGAGCTCTCTCAAGTCTACCCTCAGCCCACCTTCAGATTGCGTCAGGGTTTGTCTGAGCCTCCTGCTTGCCCAGGAGTACTAGTCCAAAAACTGCAGAAGACAACATGCCCGAGGCATCAGCTGATCCTGAGAGCTTTGCCGGTGTCTCCGCCTGAGCGAGCAGTGGCTTCGGAAGGCGTGTGTGCCGCGTCGCGTGCGGGATCCGTTCTCCACACCCAGTGACTCGCAGCTCACATTCGGAAGCATCGGTAGCTGGCTGTGTACGCAGCCAGTGGCAGTGCTGGTTCAGTTCAGGGCCCGGCCAGTTCGGCAAAGCATGACCTCCGACGTCCCGTGTGTTCAGCGAGCTGGAGCAGCTTGAACCCCCCCATGTGCCCACCCAAACCCATAATCACATAAACAGCCACAAAACAGCCACAGCGCGATAAAGCCATGAAGCCAGAAAATGGTGTCTTCGACAAGGCCGGGTGGCCTCCTGTGAATCGTGCTTGCGCAGGATGCTCGCTGTGGTAGCCTGCAGCTCCCCTTCCGAGGCCCTTCCTTGTTGCGCGGACCAGCATCTGTGTAGGGCGCACGCTGGAGCTTGGGCCAGATGCAGGGGCTTGCTGAAGAAAGGAGAGCGCTGCGATTTGTAGGACCTTTGGGACTTAGAGGCCTTCTCGCCGCACCGGGTCGACCGCCGCCTCCCCAGGCCCCTAACCGCTCCTGCGCGCTCCGATTGGCTCCGAGCTTCTCGACATCTTCGGCACTCGGAGCTTTCGGAGCTTTCGGAGCTTTCGGAGCTTTCGGAGCTTTCGGAGCTTTCGGAGCTTTCGGAGCTTTCGGGAGTCGACACCTCGGGCTCTAGGATTCGTTTTCTTCCTTCGATAGCCACCGCCGGCGAGCGCAGCGTTCCGGGCCGACGGGGTTTTGCTGCCAACGTCTCCCATCCTGGTCATCTGTGGAAGTTCCAACTTTCCGTTGTAGGTCAGGCAAAATCAAAGTCGTCAGCGCCCGCAGCCCCCGTGTTGCGCAGGGAAGAGTTCTCAAGTCCCCCTAGCTTCAGCCCACCTTCTGATTGTGTGTGGGTTTGTCTGGCCCTTTGCCTCGCAAGCCTGCCTGCTCGGAATCGCTGACCAGCAGAGTGAGTAGAACCTTAAGTCCTTGGACAAGAGACGAGCTCCTTCCGAAAGCGTGAGCTACAAGCTTTCCCGGTATGTCCAACTTATTCTAAGAGCTGGTGCCGGGTGGCCTGCGGAGTCCGTTGACTCGTAGCTCACATCCGGGCATCGGTGGCTGGGTGTGTACGCAGGGCCCAACCAGTTCGGCAAAGCGTGACTGCTGACGTTCCGTGCGTACAGCGGATTGGAGGCTTGAGGCTTGTTCCCATGGACCTAGGCCTTCCGTCATTGCAGAGAGATACCCCCCCGAAAGCACTGCTGCGACCTTTGCCTTCGCAGTTCTCATGTGACCAGGGCTCCACAACAACATGCAACCATGGTACAGTAGTTTGCGGCCTCTTCCCTGGGCACTGCACTGAGCCCCTCGTATGGCATGTGGACCAGCATCTGTGTGCAGCGCCAAGCCAGACGCCCTGGCTGTGAACATGATCCAACCCTTCCTGGGTGTTGTGAGTGATAGAGGTGTGTGTTATGAGCGAAAGAGTCAGCGCTTGCTTGCCCGAAGACAAGAAGAAGATCGGTTCTGCGCAAGAGCTGACAGGGTGGCTTGCCAGACTTGCTGAGCACGTGGGGCTGTGGCACGGCTAGTCTTCGATGTGCCGACCCAGACCTGCTGCAGGTGTAGAGGAAGACTTGCTGTAATTCAGGCCCGGCAATTCGCAGGTTTTGTTCCAGAGACAGCCAGCACAATTTGGGGAGCCGGTGCCCATTCCATGCACCGATGCGTGTGCCCTTTGTAGGGGCTTCAGCACACCAATCCTGTGCATCAAAGCCACTCAGAGTGTCCAGAGCGTCCGGAGTGTCCAGGGAGCCAGCAAAAGGTTTCGGGGTCATGTGGGCCATTCTGGCAAGCCCCCATCCGTGGCAGATGGTGCTTGCAGCACCCTCGTCGGGAGCTTGAAACCTCTAACCTCAAGCCAACATTCACAACACCCAGAAGCTGTGGCCATGCCACTAACACCGGGCAATTGGAAGCAATCTTGCTTAGAGGCCGTGGCTTGAGGTCGGGTTGAGCCATGCATGCTGACACGCCCAGCGTCCCAGCCGCCACGAAGGAGCGGCAAATGCCAAGCTTGAACATGTGGGGGCGTGGCGGACCAAGGTAGTGGCACCTGCGCTCGCCACGTCGATCTAGAACCCACACTGGCTCCTGTGCTCTAGAGTCACTGGAGGAAGACATGATGATCGCCCCCTGCTTCCAGGCCGCGGAAACCTAGTCTCTCACAGACACACGGCGAACACGTAAACACGCCACTCAAGGCAGTGACCGCCCCTGTGGTTCAATGTTGTCCGACGCCTTTTAAACCCGATGGCCTGAAGATGAGCTGAGGGCACTTAGGCAAGAGCCTGAGGGGAACACAGACATTCAGGCTGACATGCCCATTCTCTTGTTTTCTTTCCGACCGCAAACGGTCAAGTGTCTTGCGGGCTACGTTGGCTACGTGGACTGCCACGGCCGCTCAGTGGCGGCACTGCCATCGCTGCAACGGGCGCTTCGAAAGTCCGTGCAGACTGGCGCTCCCAGCACAGAGACTGAGGTGCGAATCATGTTGTAGACAATGCAGCAGCTTTCGGCAGTGCACGTGCCTCGACGCAGGCTGGGCTACAGGGGCGCCGGAACAGTGCGTTGCATTCAATGCGGTAGAGTCCGCTCAAGCATGCGAGAACAGCGGAGATGCAGGCCTGAGCAGCAGCCTCGAGTCGTTCTGAAAGCAAGGGACGCTTAGTGCCCTCGTTGCGACACGTCTTTGACATTGTGCGTTCTGAGCCCTGGAAGCTGCACGAACCGGGCGGATTGCTCGCGCCCGTGCTTGGTTGTGCCACGTTGGGCCACTTGAGCCACTTGGGCTTGAAGCTCGTATGCGGTGATTTCAGACAGATCATCTTAAAGCACTTTGGGCTTTGTCGGCTCTTGCAGCCTGGACGGCGCAACTCTGGAGCTCCGAGCTCTGTAGGCCTTGGCAGCACTAGGCCTCCCGATTCGGATTCCGCGGACTGCACGATTTAGAACATGTTTGGACCTCGACCCTCGACGCCTGCAAGGGATGGTGTTGGAAGTTGGGGACCCCTGAGCGGTTTCAGGGTGCTGAGTCCCTTGCCAGAGACTTCCAGAAATGCCGTTCTCTTGCGAGTCACCTGAAACCTTCAAGAATGGCTTTGAGAACGGCCTTGAGCGTACCATGCCCAGAGGACATCGTGGGCTTGTCACCCGATCTGGTCATTCCCGATCTTGCTCTTCTCAGCCTTTTCTCCAACATGTCACCCCGCAGCCCGCATGCCCTGTCGGCTCTCTTGCTAAAGGTTTCTTGTCACGTCAAGAGAGGGCCTTGGTTTTCTTGCAGCCGCTGACAACGGAGGGTTTGCGACGCTGTTTGGTGCGTGCAGCACTGGATGGTCCCGCCAGATCAGCATGTCAAATTCCATGAAGCACGGACCGCGCGTTCAAACATGGCGGCAGAGTATCTGCTGTAGCCGTCAGTTGTGACTGGGAGGCCGCGCAGCACGATTGCTGCAAGGGATGGTGTTGGAAGTTGGGGACCCCTGAGCGGTTTCAGGGTGCTGAGTCCCTTGCCAGAGACTTCCAGAAATGCCCTTCTCTTGCGAGTCACCTGAAACCTTCAAGAACGGCCTTGAGCGTACCATGCTCAGAGAACATCGTGGGCTTGTCACCCGATCTGGTCATTCCCGATCTTGCTCTTCTCAGCCTTTTCTCCAACATGTCACCCCACAGCCCGCATGCCCTGTCGGCTCTCTTGCTAAAGGTTTCTTGTCACATCAAGAGAGGGCCTTGGTTTTCTTGCCGCCGCTGACAACGGAGGGTTTGGGACTCTGTTTGGTGCGTGCAGCTCTCCCAATGCTTGGGCTCACGGCTTCGCCAACCGGCCGCCAAGCAGTGCAGCGCTGGGCAGTCCCTTTTCCCACCACGTGTTTTCAGGCCATTCAGCGCAGACCACTATTTGAGCCCAAGCATGGGAGACCTTCTCAGGCGGTCCCGTGATCTGTACTTGCTCACCGCTTGGCCGCAAAAAACGCTGCTTTGGCACAGGCTGCATGTGGAAGCAAGAAGCCCTGACGCCTTTGAGAAACAGAACTGGGCTGAAGCGAGCATGAAGTAACGTAACATCTAGAAGTTTTCCAAGCAGCGCAACACCGCAACATGTGAAGAAGTGCAAACTCTGCCCGAGCTCGCAGCTTTTGCAGGTGCACTCTGCCGGTCTTGTCCTCACCTCAAGATGAGCTCGTAAAGATTGGCATCACGGTTGGAGCCAACATAGGCGGAATAGGAGAGATTGTCACATCCCCCACGCACGGAAGGCTCCTTATCATCCGATCCTCTTCTCACAAAGCCGTGAGCTCGAAGTCGCTGCTGATCGCGGCGCGAGCACTTAAGCTAAAGCCCAGGCTCCTCAGCATTCGACCCCCTTCTGACAAAGCCGCTCGACGTCGCTGACGCCGGCGCGAGGTATTTGGCCCAGGTAGGGATTGGCCAGGCTTGTTGAAAGGGGGGCTTCCCTAAGGGAAGGCCTCGCCGGTTGAGGGTTACAAAAGCGCTGAGAGAGGGCCTCAGCCCAGGGTACTGCGCCTCACTACGGCTCCGGGCTTCAGTCCACGAGAGACAGGAAACCGGCCTGAGGCATGGGAGAAAGGGGAAAACGCTTGCAGCCGCCTGGAGGCGTTCTCCTTGGTGCCGCCTGACGAAGCCATTGAAGCCTGCAAGAGAAGTCCTTGCAAGGCATCTGTGAAATGAAGGCTTCGGGCTGCGGCTCCTGAGGAACTGCCGAGGGCAGTTTTTGCAGTCCGCACGGATCACTGCGCCCAAAACGTGTGCCTGTTCCGACGCTCGTGCCGTCAACGCGGACACTTCGCTGTCAGCGACTGCGACATCTGCGACGACAGCATTCCGCTTGCAAGTTGGACCCCTGGCTCCCTCTTGGTTGGCTTCCGCATCTCTGACCCTAAGCCATCTGAGTTAAGCCTTCATTGTTTCTGCTGTTACCTGCCCCTGCCGTCTTGCCAGGTTGAGGATCGCGAGGGTCATAGGGCAGTGCAGTGCTGTTACAGGCGGAGGCTGTGCGAAGGGGAAACGTGATGCACTAACTGGAGAAGATTCTGCGTCCTGTGATTTCTGCGTGCCTCGCAGGACGCCAGGATTCCCGGACCTTGCACTCATGGTTCATGTTGGACCAGGCTATCAATGCTCTCAACTGGTTTGTGGGAGGCTGCTTCAACGGGCGCTCTTAAGGCAAGTGTCGTGCACTCGTGAAAGACCGCCGGCTATTTTCAACTGGCTTCCGCACATGCGTTGCTCGCATTGCTCACGTTGCTCGCCTGCTCTCGTGTCTGTCTACCTCTTGTGGTAACAAGCGGAAGTTTTTGAAGCGCCCGGCGTTTCGTACTCGCCAGTTTTGCAGGGCGTCAGGGCAACATGGCCAGATTGGGGCATGGACAAAGGCCTGCCTGAACCATTGAAGCATGCAAGCGTACGACCTGCAAGTCGTACCATCGTTGCCTAATCACTTGCGGGCGCTCCATGATTACTGTGGCTGATGCCAGCTTGACAGCCAGCGGCGTGCCTTGCGCCCCCACTGGCTTGTTTCCCGGTCTGCTGTTCCCAGATGTTCCCGGAGAAGCTGAGATGATGTGAATCCGGGAGGCCTGATGTTGGTAGCGACGTCATAAGTGCCACCGGGGTCACCAGAGGCCCGCAACCACGAAGTAGAGGAGGGGAGAGGACACGCAGATCGCTTAGCCTGAGAAAGGCAGTGTGCATGTTCAAGAAATGCGGCGAACCAGCTAGTCCTCCGCCGATGCCGCTCGCTTTCATGTTTGCCTCTTTGTACTGGACGATTCAGCAGACAAAGATGCATGAAAAAAGGTGCCCGGCAGCAGATCGCGACTATGACTACGACTGCTGTTGCTACTTGTGCTCCTATAATGTTGCTTTGAAACGACGAAGATGGCACCGTTAGGGGAGGGGAGGGGGTGTCAGTTGAACTTGTGAGAATTCGCCCGTCTGAATTTGCTGAAAGCCCCGAAGAAGTCATGGGAGATTGTTCAACACCTCTGAAAAGAGATGAGGCTGGCAACCCCCGAACGAAAGGAGATGGCTGAGGCAAAACAACGGAAAGGCGAAGCCTCGCTAGGTCGCTAGGAGTTGGATTGACAAGACAGGAAGATCTCTTTGCACCTTCGCAAGGCTGATGCTGCCAGGCCCACCGGCGCGTGAAAGTGCTGAAAGAGGGCTGGAGTTCCAGGTCAGCTGGAAGTGGGGTTAACACTATGGCTAATTGCCCAAGTGGGCGCCAATGCCTCATGTCAGCAATACGCTGGAGTCAATGGCGAATGCCATTTTGGCTCAAGCGACAGCTGGTGTTCTCACACTGCCCGTTGATTTGAAAGCCTGTCCCCTCGCTCGCCTTTGCTCGCCATGGCCGCACCAGATACCCCCGCTGATGCTTGGACTCTTGTGGAAGAAGTAGCAGCAGCAAGAGAGCAGCGAGAGATTGATGGTGCCGCTCTCATTTTACTGCCCCGTTAAAATCGTATGAGAAATAAGGTAAAGTATGCACGCATTTTCTCATAATGTCAGAATATAGGGCCTTCTTCATTCCTTTTCAAAATCTTGCTTGTTGTTCAATTGAGTTCATGCGTCATTCATATCTTCTGGCCAGCCCCCAAAGTTTATGCTGGCCCACGTTGGCCATTTTCATGTCATTTGAATTCACAACCCACAGTTCGGAGCCTAGCGCTGCGAGAAACAAGTCAAGCATGGAAAATGCACGGTTGTTGACAGGAATAACTTGACAAAACTCGCATCGGCACGAATGCTACAGCGCATAAGACATGCGAGAAACCCTGTCCAGAAGTGATCCGAAGTGCAGATAAAGAAGCAAAGACGGATAGGCGAACATGTGCAAACAAATAACGGAAATGGAACGGAAACGGAAAACACAACTCACTGCTGGGCCCAAAGAGCATCATATACGTAAGACTCATGATTGCTCGTGCGAAGAACATTCAGAGGAGATGGGCAGGATGCGGTAGGAAGGTGTGGATATTGCAACACGAGACATGTCGACAGCGTTCTTGCACTCGCTTCTACCTCAACATGCCCAAGCCATCGTACAACCCCAACAAGTTCCTCGCTGAACTATAATGGCACGGCGTGCATTGTCTTAGATCCGCTTCATGGACTCTGAAATTGGCTGGTGTCCGATTGAACCATCGCAGGAACAGTTCATGATGTTGTGGCATGTCGACGACATTTGAGAAATTCAATAGTTCGTGTGGACGAAGACATGGGATACCAAGATGCCGGCAAGATGTTTGTTTTTTTCATTCCTTTCAAGCCGGGTGCATGTAAGACAACTGTTGCCTCAACGTCCGAAAACGATGGCACGCAAAACGCTTTGGCAGCACCGAAATATCATGTGGTGTTGACTGTTAAACCCGAGTACAAAATGCTCTTGGCTACTGCCTTCGGACCCAGACAATAACCCGATGCGAGCTTCTTGAACACAGTTGCAGTGCATTGACACGTCGGTGCAGTGTTGGTTCGTAGCTGTGCAAAGCACGAAGACATACAGCAGACCTTGTACCAAGAGGGCACTGCACGAACATATCAGACGGTCAGCTTAAACGCCAGCGTGATGACCAAGATGTTGCTGTCACCGGGTGCGCACGAGATGGCCTGCCGGATCATGTAAGTTGCCAAGGCATCGTGGTTTCTGCTCTCGAAAGGTCAAAACGACTTGAACCTTTTTGTGACGGGATGTGACGCAGGTCACGTAGGTTGTTGAGCACCCCCCCCGAGGCAGGCGGCAACCGTGCACGCTCGTTGCAAACCTACACTGCTGTGCTCCGCAGCTGCCTACTGTAATCTA